CTTTGTACTTCCCACCTCTTTTTGTCTCTGGGTTGCATTGGAATAATTTGTTCAGCTCAAATTTCAGTTTCTTCTTCTCTCTTCACTTGGGTGTGATGCTATTTAATTCCTTCCTCAAGCTTTTATATTCAACAGTTATAGCAGTCATTTCCAGATGTCCTCTTTAGTGTTTTTTTTTTTTTTGAGTGTGTTAAGTGCACCTAATGTTTTCTGATAGTATCTCGTTCTTTCCTCATGTTTTCAATGCTCTGTTATTTCTCTGAGCAAACTTATTTTGTGTTCTGTATCTATTGTTTCTCGTGTTGGAAACCTTTGGTAGTCTACTTCTTCGTTATTTCTTGTTTTCTTGTGTCCTTTGTAAATTTTGATTTTTTGGAGGATATTTGCTGAAGTCATACTTGCAGGATTCTATGACTTCTGAGGTGAGGGTATATTCCTTCAGAGAGGGTTTTCCTTCCATTTCCAGGTGTCTACAAGGTGAAACCAATCCTTGACCACTTTCCTTTCTGTTCTTGACTTTGAGTTTATTGGAATAAGCCAGTAGGGGAAATTCAAACTCCGAAGTCAAATGAGAGTTTCTAAATTCTCAGGAGAAATTTCTCTTCATATTTTTTTCTCCACACAGAGCTGATAGTGACACAGACAAGTTTCCTCATACAGAGTGTATCTTTTTTCTAGTTTGTCAACTTAAAAAAGCCAATTCGCCTGTTATTTTACCCTCAAACTGAGTTTATTAGGGAATAGCCAAAAGAATTGCAATTTGGGATGTGCATGCTATGGCGAACCACAGGCAAACCCGGAAAACAGAGGCTGGGTGCCGCTTTTTTAGAGCAAAAGGGGAGAGGGAGATGCTGTTCCTTTAATCTATTATGGGAAAGTAACAGTTCAGGGCAGCAACGCCTTCTCGTTGGCTGAGCTGAGGCGTATCTCATTGGCCAAGCTGTGGCATTTCTCATTGGCTGAGCTGCAGTGTTTCTCATTGGCTGAGCTGCAGTGTTTCTCATTGGCTGAGCTGCAGTGTTTCTCATTGGCTGAGCTGAAGCATTTCTCATTGGCTGAGCTGCAGTGTTTCTCATTGGCTGAGCTGCATGGTTTCTTATTGGCTGAGCTGTGGTGTTTCCCATTGGCTGGGCTGTTTCTGGGTGGGGAGAGAAATCTTCCTTCAGTAGTAGAGTAGTTTTACTTCCTGTCAAAGATACAAGCATCTGTCTCTTCCAGTTGGGCGTAATTGATGATAGCACCCCCAACAGGCCCCCCAGACTCGAATTTAGTTGAGGTTTCTTTCACCAATTTCCACACGTTTAATATTTAATTTAGGGTATGTCTCTTCTGAAACTCCACAGTTACGTTTTTCACTTTGACTTTCTATCATATTGAAACTGAGGGTGAAGGAGTTAAAATCACCCTGGATTAGGGGGAAACTGTGCTTTGTACCCTCAAGGTTAACATGGGAAACAAAATAGCCAAGGTTCCTGAGCCCGCCTTGCAGAACAGCAGGAGGACGCTGATAGAGAGGAACTTGCTGACAGCCCCCTGCCTGCCTAAGCACCTTACAGGAACATCGAGGAGCTGAAATGACTGACTGTAAACTTCAGAGGTCAAAGACTAAAATCCACTATGCGTGACGCGTAGAAGAGACAGCCGTCCCTGTGCGGAGCACTCTTAGAACTTCAGCCCCAAGGGCACATGCTCCCCCTCCTTCCACCTAAGACCCCCAATAAAAACCCTTGCTTGTAGCTTTTCAGTAATTCAGGATTACAGCACGAGCCGCCCGTTCTCCCTGCTCAGCGCTTTGCAATAGAATTCCTACTTTCTTCACTGAACCCGGCGTCAGAGACTGCCTTGCTGCGTGATGGGAGAGCGAGCTCACCTCCGGTTTGTTATCCTTATGTGGACCCAGCGCGTAGTCTCCTCCCCCACATGTGGCTCCAGGTGACTAGAGAAAAGCTGGGATCCTGAAGGCCACTGCCAGCTTCAGGACTTGCTGAGCATATGTTGTCATGATGCAGTTTCTTTTTTTTCTTTTTGGCCTCTGAAATGTTCACATTAGCTTGGCATACATTTGAAAAATATTTAAGATATTTTTTCATTCAACATTTTCAAATATCTTATCATAGGAGGGTTTACCACCTTTGTGAGGCATATTGCTGGGAAAAGCATTTCTATACTCCCGACTTCACTTTTCTTATTTTATTACATGACTGAGGTCTCCACTTAGTGTTTGATTATGATCCTGACAGCACACATGCTTATCACGTTTTCTAGTGTAAAAGGGAACACTGCTAACACTACCCCATGACGTACGGTGCCATTTTTAGGTTTCTGGTAGACAGCTTTTATTAAATTATTGACATTTTCTTCTATTCCCAGGTAGATACAGTTTTGTAAAAATCATACTAAGTGACTGTTGATGATCATATGGTTATCATCCTTTATTTTCTTGCTATAGTGATTGACATCTTGTTCCAAGATTGAGCCATTCTGACATGTCAGGAGTAAATTGGACTTGCTCATAAGCTATTCTTATTTTAACACATTTGGATTCGATTAACTACTATTTACTTTTTGTTCACAGTTACATTGGCCTCTAGTTTTCCTTTCTTGTGTGTACTGTTTTCCTTGTAGTGTCAGTTGGCTCTGTGCTTGCCCTAGAAAAGGAGTGAGCAGGAGTTTTCTAAGTGCTTGGGACAGAGGATGACATTTCGGACAGATGGACGTGCCTGTTTGAAGCTGCGGAGGCTTCGCGGAGCCTGTGCGCTCAGGAATTTGTGAACTGCTCCATGCGTATCAGAAGAGGGGTCCCGTGCTGTGTTGGAAGAGCAAGGTTTGAAGTCTGAACTCCCTAGCTCCTGCCACGGGCCTTTATGGGGCCCATCGAGTCCAGCCACCAGAGGGGCCGGCAGCTCGTGGAGCTTCTGAGACACTTGTTCTCCTTAGAAGACAGCTTTCTATACTCAAAGTGGACCCTCGAATTCTCATCTTTTCTCTGTTTTTAAAGACCCTATGTAGGTGAGGACTTTTACACGCGCGTGTATTATGCAGAATTGGTCATTTTGAAAGCAACACTGCTTTTACGGGACCCAAACATCCTCCTTCCGCCAGTGTGTGCTCCGAGCTGCGGCGCCCCCGACTAGAGGGCCTTCTCGCAGGGCCGGCTTTCAGCAGAGGCTGCGTCCTGGGTCTGCCTGGCAATGCTCCAGCCTCTGATCTGGATCCTGTTCCCTTCTGCCTGCAGAAGGACCTTGCTCTAGCAGCTCGACCACGGTCTCCTGCTTCTTCGCCCTTCACTCCACTGACTCTTTACTATCAGCAGTGAGCGACTCCCGAGTTTTGACATTCATCCCGTAGCACCCGTTGATCCTCGACCTTTTTGCTAAATAAACACCGCCCTCTGTATCTCCTTCCTTCCACACGACTTTTCTAGAGAGAGTATCTATCACGCTGCTGCTGACCCATTCCCCGTTCGTTTTAAGTTCTCATCCTACAATACTTTGACATCTCCCATCATCAGGTCATTGAAAGTGCCCCTCATCGTGTCACCACTCACTCACCGGCTCGAAATTTAGGACCTCTCCATGTTCCCATTGGACTTCCTGTTATTTTACGCTGCACAGTCGTCGTCCTTTTGAAGAGACTCCAATGTCAGGCTGCCATGGAAATGGCCACGTGGTTGAGCTCTTTCCTCTCCTGCTCTTTCTGAGTGAGGTGCCCACGCTTGCCGGCCCTAACAAGAGTGATGCGCCCCACACTCGGGTCCCAGGATGAGTCGGGAGTGGCTGGGTGACAGCGTTCCCGGGTACAGGCATGAGCGGCAGGGCGTGAGCACAAAGCCTGTGCTGGGAAAAGGGTGTGCACCCAGGAGGAGCCAAGCAGATGCTGCAAATCCGATCAGTCCTGGAGTTGCTGGCCAGCCCTCAGGGGCCCTTGGTCCCCACTGTCCCCCAGGATGGACTTAGGCCTCTGGTTTGGAGGGCTCAGATGTGACAGGGACGGGCCTCCCCCTGCCCAGGGCTGGCAGAGAAATCCCCCTCTGTCTGCCCCACACTGCCTCCTGCTGGGGCCACTGACACTCTTTCTGGAAGGTTCCCGGCTGCCCCACACAGCAGTCTCCCTGTGTCAGAGCAGGTAGGGGCTGGCCGGGGTGAGGGCAGAAGAGAGGAAGGTGAGCAGTGGGGGGGGCTGCACCTGCCCCACACTGACTCAGCACCACAAGGGACAAGCGTCTGTTTTGCGCAGAACTTTGAGTCTGGCTCTCTGCCCTCTTTGGACGGCTGCATCTCCACTGAGCCATGAAAACCAGCTGACCCTGCCGCCGTCTACCCAGCCCAAGTTTCAGACGCTGGACAAATGTGTGTGTGAGAATGTGTGAGTCCACACACCCGTGCCTTGAAGTCCAAGTTTATTCAACAGAATTCCTATCTTCCGGCTCCTGGAGTCTGGTAGGGAGAGCTGAGGAAGAGCAGCCATGTGCCGCCCCCATCAGAAAAGGGCTGTCCCCAGGATGATGCCCCCGCATGCTGACGAGTCCTTCACTCCAGGGATGTCTTACTCCCAAATCATCCTGTCTCCCCTACTGACCCCGATTCCCCCAAAATGTCAGAAGCATCTGAGCACTCCTCCTCATGGGTGCACTTAGCTCCTCCTCCATCAGCACTGAAGCCCTGGGAGGTGAAGAGGAGAGTGACTGTCAGCAACAAACAGAAGTCAAAGAGAAACACTTGTAAACATCATCACTGTGGGGAATGTTTGGGCTGGCCCTGAATGCGAGCTGTGGGCTAGAGCCACCTGGGTTTGCTCCCCACCCTCCTACTCCAAGGTCCCTTGAAGTCAGACCACGACTTAAGGAATGGAAAACAAGTTTAATGCAACAGGTTCCGAGCACTTGCAGCGAGTCCACGTCATTTGTGCGGTGCTCCAGAAGGCGCGCCCTGGGGCTCAGGGCAGCCTGAGGCCCAGGAACACAGAGGCAAGTGTCAGGAAAACCAGCAGCCCAGCTCTACTGCTCCTCACGGCGCTTGCTTTTTTAGGTTTTTTCTTGGTGTTATCTTCTTCGTCTCTGATGTCTGGTTCAGCATCGTTGCATAACGACGTCTGACAGCACATCACGTATAAGAAGGGCATAGGCTTTATGATTACAAACGACTTCTCCAGGTATGGAGGCTTTATTGAACAATACTCTGCACATTGCTTTGAAACATAGAAGAAACGTGGAAATATTCCTAACAGAAAATAGAGAGAGGGAGAAGGAAACACGTGAATTCGAAGCAGCGACACCAACGGTGTTTCTGTCTGTCCCTTCTGGCGCCCCTGCCAGAGGCCCAACTCAAAAAGGCCACCTAGGGAGAGTCAGGAGCCATCAGCGAGGAGGAAGAGGGTCAAGCCTTTGTGTTCAGAGCTGCTTGTGGGGGTGGGAGGCGGCTCTCGTGCAGCCCTCGTCTGACCAAGTGCACTCGGAACCTGGGTCTGGGGCTCTCTGTCAAGGGAAGGTCAGGCTCCATCTGCCTCAGCCTCTCAAACACAGGGTGACTCAGGCCTTTGTGACCATGGACAGACACATGGGAGCAAGGGGCTCCTGGCCATCCTGGCCACAGCCCAGGGCTCGGAGCTGGCCTCTCAGTGAGCTGCTGCCCAGGGCCTGGGTGCGAGGGCCATGACGGTGAGCCTGCCGCACGGGCACAGCTCAGCGCTGGGCTCCAGGTCAGTCTCATGACTTCAACTCACCTTGTCTTCTGTGGTGCAAATCAGTTTCCATTTACTAAGTTATCAAGTCCCCGTGAGGCTAGAGAGGCGTAAGCCTCAACACAGCGCCCCACGCGTTTCCTGGAACGTGGAAGGCCCCGGAATGGTCCTGAACTGAAGCAGAACTCTCGGAACTCTCGAGGGCTGACAACGGCCCTGGGGTAAGGCTGGGCCTTCCACCCACTGCGGGACGGAGCTCATCGTGGGGCCGGAAGTTCTCGGGTGAATTACGGGTGGCAGAGCGCGGTCTCCACCACCCTTCTAAAGGACGCACACTCCTTTCAGAGCACATTGAAGCCCACACCCCGAAGTGTGGACAGCTCTTGGAAAAGCTATTCTCGGTGGGACGTTTGAAGTCACTGAAGCTTGGTTTTTCATTTAAAAATGAAGCTAAGTCTCGACTCATCTCTTCCACCCCCAGTATTTCGTCTTGACCAACTGCGATGCCTGCTGCCCTGGAGCTGCACCATTCCTGCCTGAGCTGGTCACCTCTGTCGCCTGCTTGCACTCCTGGCTTCTCAGGACTTTGCTCTTCAAAGTTAAACAACAGATCACTTTGATATTACTTATCCTCCTTCGAGGAAAACAGACCCTAATTCCTGAAAATAGCGTAGTGGTCTGCCTGTGGGACCCCGGAACGCTCCGAGATACTTACTCACAACAGCAAAAGAACAATACGTCTCTCTGTCGCTACAGTTCGTAGGACCAGCGCAGTTGAAATTATTCTCTCTCTCGCAAACGTGACATCTCAGTACGTCTGAAATGAGGAATGAAAAAGAAAGCGGGATGTTTGTGAAGTTCTCCAGTTCTAGCAGACACCCTCTCGCGCCTCCTCGGGAGCGCAAACCAGTGGGTGCCATCTTCCCCACACCCACGCCCACCGCGTCCCCTGAGTTCTTTCTCTTCTCTCCTGGGCCTCCCTCACCCACGCACAGGGTATGTCTCAGTCACGCTCCCACGCCCAGACACGCATTGCGGCGTGGACATGGACACGGACACGGACACGCACAGGCACCCACCACTACAGCCAGACACTCTCACCCTGACGTGCACGCCCACACCTTCGCACAGACACACCCACACACGACACCCCCACACAGATGTGCACACACTCGCTTTCCCACCCACCTTCCTGGCCCACCGAGCCTCCTCCAGCACCGGCTCCACCCTCCTCGGCCCCCCAGGCCCTGTGTCCTGACCCCTGCGTGGTAGCCCACTGTTGGGTCTGTGCTGGGGCGGGACTCACTCCGGGGGAGAAACTGCTCACCCTCTAGCAGCTTTTCCCCTGCTCAGAGACAGCCCTGGAAGCCCCAACCAGGGCCAGGCCAGGCTTGCCTTCCAGCCTGACGTCTCCCAAGGAGGCAGGGCCACTGAGGCGAGAGCAGGGTGCTGGAGAATAAACCAGGGTTCTGGCCACCCCTGCCGCCCAGGGTGCGCGAGCCCCACATCACGAAGCTCCCCCACTAGGTGTCCAGGTCAGCGGGTCGCCCTCCTGATGCACCCCTGCTCCCTGATTCCTGTGCCCACACCCACCTGGGCTCACTGCCAGGTCCCGACTTGGGTCACTGCCCCGTGTCCGCACAGCCATTCCAGCCTGCCTCCTTCCCCCAGCCCCGGAGGCTGAGGGGCCCAGACTTACCTTGTCTTCCAGACCCGGTGACGTTTGTCTCCACCTGTGGCAGGCCCATGGCCAGGAGCAAAGCAAGGAGGAGGGTCATTTCCAGTGGTGCCTGGCCCTGGACACGAGGAGCAGAGCCACTCGTTCAGCTGTGTGGCTGCAGGGTTACACCCGGCGCCTGTGCACCCACCGGCATTCAGAGCCCTTTCCCACCGGATGCCGGGGGCGGCCCATCTGCTCTGCTCCTCACCCGTGGGCCGGAGCCAGGTGTGGCCTGTTGGTGTGGGTGGCCTGTCACCACTACCACGCCCCCGTGGCCCCCGGCCCCCAGGGACCTCACCATCCCCTAGAGCTCTGTGCATTCACTCACTCCCCCTCCCCAGCACACCTTCTCCAGCAGCCTTTGCTGCTGCCTCTCCCTGAGGCTGCGCCAGTGGTCCCCCAACCACTGCTGGGCCTCCTGCTCTCTCAGGAGCCCCCATGGGGCCCACGTCCACCCTTTCCCCCTTCACCTTCCCCTCCCTCTCCCTGTCTTGGCCAGGTCATCCCTCCTGGTGCTTTCTGACCCCTGTGCACAGGAAGACATGGGTGTCCCTGCAGCGCCTGGCCCGCCTGAGGCCGGCATCAGACCCACCTCAGTGCCACTGCCCCTCTGAGATGCTGAGCCCAGCTCTGTGCTCCTGTGGCCCGCCAGCCTCACCCCCCACACACCCTCGGCCCCGCCCCTTCTGAGGCAGGACAAGGGGACTGCACGCTGATAAAACAAGGGAAGTCCACCCCCAGTCACCAAAGGTTGACGTCAGCACGCAAGTGCCGTATATCCTTCTAAACAGAACACTAAAGAGAACGAGATGATATAATTGGCTTTTCAGAAGATGAAAACGTTCAACAGGAAAACAACATCCAGCAAGAGCATCGAAGAGACATTCAAGAACAGAAAAACAAGATCTCCGGAGGTAAAAGACTCATTGGCGGGCCAGGCCCGACAGCCGGTGGTTAAAGTTCTGCTTGCCCTGCTGCGGCAGCCTGGGTTCTTGGGTTCGGACCCCGGGTGCAGACCGACTCCACTGAGCAGCCATGCTGTGGAGGCGTCCCACACGCAAAGTGGGGGGAAGACTGGCACGGATGTTAACTCAGGGCTAATCTTCCTCAAGCAAGAAACAAAACAAAACAAAACAGAGAAGGACTGGGAATGGATGTTAAATCAGGGGGAATTTTCCTCCCTAAAAAGAAAACCAAAAACACCCCCTCGTTGGATGAAATTAACCACCAACTAGGCTCAGCAAAAGGGAACGACAGGAAACGTGAAGACAGGTCTGTAGAAAATATCCAAAGCGGTAGTCAGAGGAAGAGAAAGAGGAGAACGAACAGAAGTGAGAGAGGGGACTGAGGAGCAGAGCGGACTATGGAGCATCTGTGTCCCTGGAGCCCCAGAAGGAGAGGACCCGGCAACGGACAGCGCAGTCCTTGCAGAGATCCCAGCAGACGGCGGACTTGCCCTGCCGCCGCGGGGATCAGCGCTCACCCCGCACAGTTCAGCGCAGCGGGTCCGAAGCAGAAGGCGCCCAGGGAGACGCTCGCGAGGCGCCACCGTGCAGCCGCGGACGCCGGTGTGAACGCGCGAGCATCCGCCCAGCGGCAGAGGGGAGAAAGGCGGGTCCTTCGGGCCGCAGCGATCCCGAGACGGCTGCACTCTGCACACACACTGGGCGACACAACAGCCGCGAGGACGACACCGTCCCCCAGACTCCGACGCCGCCGAAGGGCGCACACGTCCCCGGCCAAGGGCCAGCGAAGACGGTCTGCCGCGACCCCGGGGGCCGGCTCGGGGCTGGCCGCCCCCACGCGGGAGCTCCGGCCCTGTCACAGCCCTGGAAATCAAGGTGAGGACGAGCGGAGCCGAAGCCGAGGAGCCGAGACGGCCCGGGGCGAGCAGCTGGGCCCGCGGGAGGGCGCGGGACGGGCAGGGGACTATGTCGTCCGCCTGCACCCACGTCAGGACGTCGGGGCGGCACCACTGGGACCGCAGCCTCCCGGGGCACCCGGGACGGTCGCCGCCATGACCCGCCGCCGCTGACCTGGACTGAGGTTCGAGCCTCAGCGCGGCGCACGCCCGCCCGTGAGGCGCCCTGACTTTGTGGAACCTTCCGTGCCGCCCGCGCGTCTGAAGGAAGCGCCCAGAACCCTCTGGAACCTTCTGAGTGCCTGACACACACCCTCGCCCCGCTTAGTGAAGTGCCCAGAACCGTCTGGAACCTTCTCACCCAGGCCTCTGACGGAAGCGCCTTTGGGGAGACGCAGGCCGTCCGCAGGTCAAACGAACCTTCTAGAAGCAGCGCGAAGGCCCACGGGAGACAGCTGAGGACCCGCTCCTGCTGTGGGAACTGCGCTCAGGCCCTGAGCGTCCTCCTGGCGCTCACCCCCGCCTGAGCCCCGCCCGCCCATGCGCGCCCGCAACGTTCAGCTCCGAAGGTTCCAGAATGTCCGGGCGCTTCATGGGGTGACCGTTAAAGAAGGTTCCAGAAGGTCTTGGGGGGAGGGGTCACGGGCAGGCGGCGTGGAAGGTTCCGGAAGACTGCAGGTGCTGCTGGGCGTCCTGTGGGGGTGGGCGGGGCCTGGTGAGTCCACCGCTTCCCTGTTCCCCTGCCCGTGAGGGCCCCCTCAGGAGGGGCTGGGAGCGGGAAGAATGGGGACCCCTGGACTGGTGGGACCCCTGGACTGCTGGCAGGGCGACCACGCAGCGGACCCTAGAAGAAGGAGCGAGGCCACCTCTGCCATGCGTGGCTTCGTGCTCGCTTAATGGAGCCTCTGTCCCAAGTGCCTCTGCCCCTCACAGGGACGCGCGGGAGAGGGCCGCGCTGACCCCCGCCCCCGCCGCCCGCGCCCCCCTCCACCCCCAGGCCGTCTGGCGAGCACAGTTCACGGCAGGGCCGTCAGGGAGGGGGGGTCGCGCTTCTGGCTGCACGTGCCCCCCCCAGCCTCGGCTTCCCCGACGGCATCCTGTTGGGTCCCCAGATGCCCTAGAAGAGGAGAAGAGTTTGCACACTCCTCCCACGCCCCTCCACCATGGAAGAGGCCAGCTGCCAGGAGGTGTGCTCCTCTCTGCCCCGTGAGGCTCTGCTGGGGGCTTGGAGAAGAGAGGAGGCTCCAGACTCTGCTCAGCTCTGGCTCACCGTGGGGGCCCAGCCCTTGATCCTTCTGAGGCTCACGTTCTTCCTACGGGAATTCTCTAGATGAAGGCCCATGTCACCAGACCCCAGTGAGGACAAGACTGGTGTATGGAAAGTGCCCAGGTCTCTGCCTCAACAATCGCTCAGTCAATGGGATGTCTCCTCCCGCCTCTCTATTTGTGGCCCTGCTCTGTGGTGAGTGGGGGATGTGTGACATCTGGAGTGGAATTAAAATATAGTTACCCTGTAGTGAATGTGTCATTCTGCCACGCTGGGCACACGTGTTCACTTGATCTTCACAGCAACCCTGAAAGGGAAGCACTTGCCGTCCCCACTTTACGGATGAGCAAGGACATCGAGGCTCAGAGAATTCATTTAGCTGCACGAGGAGTCGCAGCTCATCCATGGCAGAGGCACCACCTGAACCCAGGATGCCAATCCCACCTCTAATGCCCCATCACCTCTCCTCCTCATTAAAGGACCTGGATTGGGAGCGATCTTGCACAGCTTGGAAACGACTCTCAATATAATACTGAAGAAGTATTGTTGTTCCTGGCCCAGCATTCTGGAAAAGGCGTTTTTCCCGGCAGGGCAAGTTTGAGCCTGTGTGTGGGTTGTTCGAGAGTCGTTTAAGGGGAACCGGCATCTGAGAGTCCCACTCAGGTTTCCCTTCCTGCAGCCTACCCTCCCAGGCAGCTCAAGCATGAACTGTGCTCTCTCGAACTCCTCATTTTGGAATGTGATCCTGCCCACAGCTGGGAAGCAGATGCTCCTGCGCGGGGAGCCTGCAGAGGACAGCAGCCGATATGGACAACTCAACTGAACCCGCGTAAGGCACCCTGAGCCAAGCCACTCCCAGTTTCCTGACCCTCAGAAAACATGTAGGATAGTACGTTTGCTATTTCAAGCTGCGAAGTTCTGGAGGTTTTGTTCAGCAACAAAGCTAACTTATGTAGGTATGTTCAAACACACCTCTATGTGTGTATTTACACAAACCCGTGTACATTACATGGGTTTCTCTGTATAGCTGTCTCTATAATGAAACCGGCACATTCACCTTGAGAATTCCAATTCTGACACCACTGGGAACATTCTCTCCTGCTATCTTTCCACATTTGTAACTCTGTTCTCTAACTCTGGGCCTGTACCATTTTGCATTTTCACCAGCGGCAAATGAGACTTCTGCTCCACATCCTCAACAGCGTTTGGCGGTGTCAGTGTTTTGGATTTTGGCCTTCCTAATAGGAGTGTAGTGGTATCTTGTTGTTTTAATTTGCATTTCCGTCTTGATAGATGGTGTGGAGCATCTTTTCATTTGCTTATTTGCCATCTGTGTATCTTCTTTGGTGAGGTGTCTGTTAAGATATTCGGCCCACTTGTGGGGAGTTGTTCGTTTTCTTATGGTGGAGTTTTAAGGGTCCTTTGTATATTGTGGACAACAGTCCTTTATCATACGTCTTTTGCAAATATTTTCTCCCAGGCTATGGCTTGATTTCTCATCCTCTTGACATTGTCTTTTGTAGAGGAATTTTTTATTTTAATGAAATCCAGCTTATCAATTCTTTCTTTCATGTATTGTGCCTTTGGTATTGTATCTAAAAGGTCATCGCCATGCTAGGGTCATCCAGGTTCCCTCATGTTATCTTCCAGGAGTTTTATAGATTTGCATTTTACATTTAGGTCCATGATGCATGTTGAGTTAGCTTTGGTGAAGGATGTGAGATCTGTGTCGAGACTGATATTTTTTTCGTGTGGCTGTCCGCTTGTCCCAGCATGTGTGCGAGGCTGTCTTTGCTCTGTTGCATTGCCTCTTCTTTGTCAACGAAGAGTTAACTATATTTATGGGAGTCGATTTATAAGCTCTCTATTCCACTCCAATGATCTGTTTTCCCTTCACCGATACCGCACTGTCTTGTTTAGCGTAGCTTTACAGTAGGTCTTGAAGTCGGTTAGAGTCAGGCCTCCAATTTTCCCTTCTCTGTCAATATCGTGTTGGCTATTTTGGGTCTTTTGCCTCTCCCTATAAACTTGAGAATTAATTTGTTGATATCCACAAAATAACTTGGTGGGATTTTTTTCAATTTTTTATTGTGATAAAATGCACAGAACATAAATTTTATCATCTTAACCATTTTTAAGTGTGCAGTTTAGTGTTTTAGGTCTGTCCCTTTTATACTTTATGTAGTTGGAGCTTGCTCGCTAGACAAGTAGAAAATATTTTTCTTTATTAGGTAAGTTAAATCATTCATATTTATTGATATGATTGCTGTGTTTGGTTTCAACTCTCTCAGAGATACTTTCTGTATACATAGTTGACTGCTTCTTTATGTGATGTGGTGTCTTTCTCCTTTTAATAGTTCTTTTGGCATTTACAAGTTTTGTATTTTTGTTTTAGTTTTTACTTTTACAGTTATATCTTTTGAACTGACTTTCTTTCCCCAGGTTTTCTTATTTAACTGTTTATTCCCTAGTCTGTGACTTTTCAATGGTATCTATTCATTCCAACTGATTACCTTGGTTAATGATGGATTACTTAATAACTAATGAGCATATTCTCCTTTTTTCTCCCTTTTTCTCCCATTTTTAGTTCCATTATTTGTGCTTCATCAGAACAGCTAACAGAAAAGTTAAATATTCAGACCTACATATAAAGAGCTTGGAACCATCATTCCCAAAAGAAAACACTTGACAAACTGAAAATTAACATCTCTTAGACCCATCAGAGAGCTGAGGTCACAGGGTAGTCTGATACTCCCAAATCTGGCAAGGCAGGTGTACCCAGAGAAGCAACCGTGAAATATGTTGACCTAGATCAGAAGCTGCTGGAGCCGTAAACTGGTAGGAGCACTTCAGTGTAATTTTGACAAGTGCTGGAGGCTGGTGTGGACCAGCAATTCTCAGGAGTCTCATGTTCTCCTGATAGTCTGCGTCCAGCCTCCAGCAATTTGTAATCAAGTGTTTTCTTTTGGATGGATTATAGCTGAAAGTGCTGCAAAACACAGACTTTCTCCTAGGAGCAACACATAGGAAAGACTCAAAGATAAAATGGGAGACAAAAACAAGGACACTCAAGAAACGTGAAACCTGTGACACCTAGAACCACAGCAAACGTTAAACAGAGCCAAGTCCTTGTCCATACAACATAAATCTTCACACTGAAGACCTGTGCATCAGTTCCTATTAATTTATACAATACGTACAGTTTCAATGAAAAATTACAGGACATGCCAAAAGCCAATAAAAACAGTTTGAAGAGGAAACACAAGCACGAGGACCAGACATATACAACAAAGATATCAGAATCATCTGATAGGGAATTTGAAATAACTATGATTAGTATGCTAAAAGTTCTAATGGAAAAAGTAGACAACATGCAAGAACAGACATGTGAGCATAGAGATGGAAACTCTAAGAATCAAAAGGAAATGCTATAAATAACAATTGCTGTGCCAGACACGAGAAATGCTTTTGATGGGCTCAACAACAGACTTGACACGGCCAAGGAAAGAATCAGTGAGCTGGAAGACATGTCAGTAGTAATTTCCCCAACTGAAATGCCAAGATGAAAGAAGATGAGATAACAGAACAGATTATCCAAGGACTGTGGGACAGTTTTAAAAGATGTAACACACAAGTATCTGAAATGCCAAAAGGAGGAGAGAATGGTACAGAAGAAATACTTGAAATAATCATGGTTAAGAACTTTCTAAAATTAGTGACAGACAACACACCACAGATTCAGGAAGTTCAGAGAACGCCAAGGAAGATAAACACTGAAACACACACACACACACACACACACACACACACAAACAAAAATTACCCACACCCAGGATGTTCAAATTGCAAAAAATAAAAGACAAAGAGAAAATCTTGAGGGAACCCAGAGAAAAACAATACAAGTTGTGTACAGAACAAGAATAAGAATTACAGTTGACTTCACATCAGAAACCGTGTTAGCAAAGAGAGCGTAGTAAGGTGTTTAAAGTGTTGAAAGAAAAAACGTAGCAGCCTAGAATCCTCTATCCAGGGGAATTACCCTCAAGAGTGCAGCAGAATGTACATATATGAGAGCATGTAACATGCATTTTGTCCACTATTTACTTCAATATTTTTTTGGTGCTGAGTCTACAATAAAACATACCAAACACGGTTGGGTGTATAAAAGCCCATGATGTTTCAAATATCCAAATAAATAAAAATAGAAATACACAATAAAAAGATCTGCAAGGAAGCTCTGTTGGTGTATTTATCTGAGTTTTCTCTACCTCCGTGCCTTTTTGCTGATACCAGCCAGGGATGCAATGAGAGTAAGAGTTGCAGGTCAAACTGTCCCTGCACACCAGCAAGGGCACAGCTCCTTTTGTGGGGCTTCTGGCCTCCCAGCATTCACCAGCAGCGACTCTCTGGCTACTGTCAATGCAAACATCCATAATCTACAAATCAAAATTTGGGTGAGTTTATTATGAGCCAGGTTTGAGGACAATAGCCTGGGGCCTTCCCCAAGGAAGGAAGGGCACCAAAGAAGTGGGGTGTACCGCGTGGTTATGTACCATCTTGGAACAAAGAGCATACATTGCATATGACAGAAATATCTCTTCTTTTACTGTCACGAGATGGTTAGCTGGCAAAGTGAGTTGGTGGTCAGCAGGTCAGTTGTCATAAGGCG